AACAGTAACCCGAGAAAGGTCACTTAGGTCAGCCCTCTGCCCTCTGGCTGGTGCAGTAAAAACCACAGACCAGTTTCTTTTCATCCAGGTGATCATTGACAAGCAGACTCTCCACCTGAGAGCATGCCAGGTCAATGCTTGTCTTGAAGCGTACACCCTGCATCCCAGGGAATGTGCTTAACTGGTCCACGGTCTCTGCTGCATAACCATACTTGGGCCTTCTCTTGTCAAAAACACATTGGGCATTAATGGGCCATTGTTCTGTTCCCTTGACAGTTTTGCTTGTGCAATTTCCATATCCAACTAGAAACAGGTAATGCAAACCTCTCAGAAGAGTCTGCAATCCACTTTATTGGAATTACTTGGCACGTGCTCAAAATGCAGATTCCTGGGGTCTCACTCTAGATCTGCTTGCTGAATCCAAATCTCTGGGGTAGTGGTCTTTAACGGGTGCTCCTCAAACACATTAAAACTCAAGAACCTTTGACTGTACAGCACAAATTCCAGCATCCAAGATAGGTTTCATTGGTGCCATCTTTTTTTAAGGATGCTGGTCCCTGTTTTGAAGGATTGTGGAAGCTTCAGCAGAGCAATGGTGAATAATGAATGTGCCCTGAACTTACAGGTGAATGTGTTTCTCGGAATGCCACTGCAAGGGCTTTGTTAGATACTCCAGTTAAATGGATGCACAAGGGGTATCCACCTGCTGCCATAAAGCCACCCTTCTCTGCTTAACTCATCTTGTAATCAGCCAGCACCCTCCCGTCTCCATTTACTTGATTCCACCTGATTTTTATCTAGCTTTGCATGGATGTATCCTCTATTATCTGGCAGTACCAGGGACTGCCAGAAGAACAGAGGGTTGTTTTGGTAAAGGTAAAGCCAGAATGCTCCTTGGAGGCAAGGATGGCAAGACTTTGTCTCTCATACTTCGGACATGTTATCAGGAGGGTCCAGTCCCTGGAAAAATGGCATCATGCCTTGTAAACTGGAAGGTCAGTGAAAGAGGAAGACCCCCAACGAGATGGGATGACACAGTGGCAGCAGCAATGGGCTCAAGTGTCACAATTGTGAGGAAGGCATAGGACTGAGCAGTTTCCTTCTGTTGTGCACAGGGTCGCTGAGTCGGAACCAACTGCAGCAGCCTCTAGTCATTCTGAGCACTCATTCCATAATGACTTTCGGAATGCTATAGCTCTGTTTGAAGGCGCTTTCATAGTGTAGGGGTTACGAGTTGGGCTGCTAACCTCAAGGTCATAAGTTCAAAACTGCCTGCTGTCCTGTGGGAGAAGGATCGAGCTTTCTGCTCCCGTTAAGATTTACAGCCTCGGAAACCCTGTACAGTGCAGCCAGAGTGCTCCTTAGAGGCCAAGATGGCCAAACTTTGTCTCTCATGCTTCGGACATATTGTCAGGAAGGAGTTGTCGCTGGAGAAGGATACCATGTTTGGTAAGATGGAGGGTCAGAGAAAAAGAGGAAGACCCCAATGAGATGGATTGGCCAAGTGGCAGCATCAATGGACTCAAGTATGGCAACAGTAGTGAGGTTAGCCCAGGGCCAGGCATTGTTTTGTTCTGCTGTGCATAAGGTCGCTGAGTCGGTGCCGACTTGATGGCACCTAACAACAACAACAAACAACCCTGTACAGGGTCTCTATGAGGTGGAACTGACTCCACAACACATAACAAACCAACCATTAGCTCTTTTTAAGAGGGAGCATAATTCTGGAACAATCTTTCCCTGCGATGTAAGGCAGGCATGCTGGACACAGGTCTCTGGGTTGTTGAAACAGTTGTGCTAGCCTACACTAAAAGTTTGAACCCAGCTGGAGGTGCTGTAGAAGAAAGGCCTGGTGATCTGCTCCCCTACCTATTATAGCCAGGAAAGCCTATGAAGCAGTTCCACTCTGTAAATGCAAGTTCCATGACTCACAATTGGTGACACTGGTTTTTGGCTGGGCTAAGCTGGTACCAGGTCTGTTCTGCAGGTTACTGAGAGATGGGACCCACGCTCCACACACCTGTCTCCCAAATTGCTTAACAGATAGTTTCTTTGCATTAGGTGTTAATGAGTCCTGGTGTGGCACTGTAGGATAAGTAACTCAACCACAAGTTCAGTTTCAACTCATCAGATAGTCCTTGGAAACCCTATGCAGGTCGCTGGGTCGAACAGACTGGGTGCCACTTTACAACATTCAGAGTGAATGCTTTTTTTAAAAAAAAAAAAACACCTAAAGTGTACCAAACATCTGTGGTCTGATTCCAACTCAAATCAACCTTATAAGACAGAGTATACTGCTCCATATGGTTTCCAAGGTGCTGGAGGCATAATGAGTTACCCATTGACTGCTAATTACAAGGTCAGCAGTTCAAATCCACCAGTCTCTCCAGGGAAGAAAGGTGAGGATCCTATAAAAATTTATAGCTTTGGAAACCCTATAGTCACGATGAATCAGAACCAATTCAACAGCACAACAAAATAGTCTTTACAGCAGAGACGGCCACATCTTTTTCCCTCAGAATGGCTTATACATTCAAACTGCTGACCTTTCAGTTACCATCTGAGCACTTAACCACTGTGCCACCAAGGCTCCTTAAAATAAGCATGTATTGTTTGTTAAATACTGTCAAGCGGTTCTGACTCATAGCAACCCTATGTACAGTTTCCGAGGAGAGGTTGGTGGTATGAACCGCCGACTTTGGGGTTAGCAGTTCAGTGCATAGCCAACCGCACCACAACAGGACTCCAAGCATAATGTGTTGTTGTTGTTAAGTGCTGTGGAGTCACCGGACAGGGTTTCTGAGAAGCGGTTGGTAAATTTGAACCACCAACCTTGTGGTTGAAACTGACCTTGAGGTCCAGCGCTCATCCTGCAGGACCACAGCAGGACTCCAGAGCCCTAACATAGTTATTAACGGAGTTGTGAAGTGCCGTCTAGTCAGTTCTAACTCATAGCGACCCCGCATAGGGTTTCCAAGGAGCAGCTGGTGGGGATGAAACACCCACCTTGTGGTTAACCTACAGTGCTTGTCCTATAGTGCCACATCAGGACTCCATTAATGGAGTTAGGAAACTTGATTTCTAGCCTTGGTTCCTCCACCTGCATGATTCTAGTTAAGTGTCTGTCCACGAGCCATCAGTTTCTCATCTGAGCAGTAGCTACATCAGTGATGGTTCAAACGATGTGCGCCCTAAGACCCACAGAGGGCAAAGGGCTGCTGATGGGAGTAAAGAGTAAGTGGACAGATGGGCATCAAGTTGATTCCAACTCATAATGACTGTCAATCCAAAGGGACAGCCTCCACTTTCTCCCTTAGAACAGCTGCTGGGCTTGAACTGCTGACCTTGTTGTTAGCAGTCCAATGCTCAAACCTGTAGCACTACCAGGGCTCCTGGTGTGGCGCTGTGGGTAAATGTGCTGGATTGCAAAGTTGCTTGAACAGGGTCGGTGGTTCAAGTTTGCCAGCTGCTCCTCAGAAACCTTATACAGAGTTGCTATGGATTGGAACCGGCTTAATGGCACTTAACAAGTGCTAGCAAGTCAGTTCCAACTTACAGCAATCTTGTATACATTTCCAAGGAGCTGGTGGGTTTGAACCACTGACTTTAAGATCAGCTCAGCTGTCCAGTGATTATCATACAGGACCACAGCAGTGCTTCCTAGGCCTCCCTTACCCCTGATTTTAATACAAGTAGCTTCCCTTTGAACTTTTTCTCAATACAAGAGCCTGGATAATGGGGCTCCAGTAGGGGTGCAATATGCCTATTTTCCTCTGGGTCTGAGCCTTAGCCACTAAAAACCCTATGGAGGACACTTCTACTGATCCACATGGGGTCACCACGAGATTGGGTTAACACGATGGCAGATGAGTGTTTTGCTTACGGGTCTTAGAGACAAGACTAGCACATCAACTTTAGTATTCCTGCCAGTGACATACATCACGGTCCCTTTTCTCTACCACCCCTCCTCCCCCAAGATTCTTTCATTGTGAAGTGCCATCCACTCAAAATCGGTGTCTCGTCTTTCTCCCACGAAGCAGTTGGTGGGCTCAAACTGCAGACCCTGTATTTCACAGTCAAATATTTATTCTACAGGGCCACTGTGCTCCCCAAGAAGGCTGCAAAGTGAAAAAGCAACCAGAATGGTGACTAAACCAATTAAACCAGACTGAAATCCCAGCTTTGCCCTGTCTAGGTTGGGTGACTTTAAGGTAAATCACCTTACTGCTTTAGACTGATTTCTTTCCCTCCAAAATGTTTTCCTCATCGGATCACAGGGTGGTTATACCAAACAATGGAGAGAAGCAATTCAGACTAACTTGATGTTTAAACGTCAGTCAGCTCCTGTAATACCCCTACCACCTAACAAAGACCTGCTAGCTAGGCCGAAGCCCAACTCCAGGTAGGCTTCGAGGTGGTTCCCTTTATGACAGAGCGCCCCCTCTATTCACACATGATTAAGAACCCCCCCCCCCACAGACTGCCTCAGAAACATGCCTCCCTACCTCGCATTTGCCCTCCTTGGGGATCTAATGACAGAACCAGATGGCCTTGGTGGGGAGCACAGTGCACTTCAGGCCACGAAGTGAGGGAACAGGGATGGAAAGAAGAATTTAAAAGTCCTCCAAATGTTTGACACCAACAGAAATAGCGTCAAGCTTTCCTGTGGGGTTGTGGCACCCTCTAGTGGCAAAGGAGCCATGCTGCCTCCCTCTAGAACCCAGAGGAAATCTCTGGGCTCTGAGAGCTGTGCCCAAGTGGGTTAAAGGATTTTGTGTGGAAAGGTCAGCAGTTCAAACTCACCAGCCACTCCTCAGAAACCCTATACAGGGATCACTGAGTCAGAACTGACGTCACAGTTCTTAACATTAACAAGTATCATTCATGCCTGGTTGTGGCACTGGGGACACAGGTGTGACATCAGACACTGTTGTTACCTGGCCACCCGTCTCTGAAATTCCACCCCACATAAAAGGGCCTGACTAAGGCACACAAATGTCCAACTCAGTCTTTATTTATTGACTGCTTCTCCCTGGGGCCACCAGTGCTAGCAGGTGGAAGGTCGGGAACAGGGGGACCTTTATACAGAACAAGGGCACCTGAGGAGAGAGAATAAATCCAATTACAGTACTCACTACAGGGTGGGAAAAAGAGGAGGAGGAATGGGCACACTATGTACAGAGATTTAAAGGGACGCTGAGAAGGATCTTCAGCAACAGGGACATGGGTCTGCGTCACCCACTGATCTGCACGCCCTCAGCCTCGGCCAGCGGGTAGATTTCAATGGCCTCCACCAGGGGCAGGGCCTCCTCTGCAGTCTCCATCACTGCCAGGCCCACAGCAGCGTCGGCCTCTGCTAGTTGCTGCCGCACAGCTGCCTGATGCTGCTGCTGGTGGGTCTTGCGGTGCTTCCAGAGGTTGGAAAAGGAGCGGTAGCTCTTACCACAGTCAGGGCAGGAGTAGGGCCGCTCGCCTGTGTGGATGCGGCGATGTTCCGCCAGGCGCATGGAAATGGCAAAAGCTTTGCCACACACTTCGCAGGCGAAGGGCCGCTCACCTGTGTGCAGGCGCCGGTGGTCCTTCAGGTGGGTGCTCTGACGGAAGGCCTTCCCACAGTCTGGACATGGGTATGGCCGCTCGCCGGTGTGGATGCGCCGGTGCACCTGAAGCGACGTCTCTGTGCTGAACAGTTTCTTACATTCGCTGCACTCCAGGCCCCGGCGCCGAGTGGGGGCTGCGGGGGCTGTAGCGGCAGTGCCTCCAAGGGCTGCTGGAGAGGCTACTGGTGCGCGGGTGGCCCGGGGTGCCCGGGGAGCCGGTGGCTCCTTAGCAAGGACCTCTCCAGGTCCAGCGGCTGCATGGGCTGCCTCATGAGCCTGCAGCCGCGCAGCTGAGCCCACTTTCTTGCCACAGGTGCCACATTCAAAGCGCCGGGGGGCCTGGGCAGCGGCTGCTGCACAACGATGCTCCCGGAGCCTCAGGGAGGAGGGGAAGGCAGCCCCACAGGATGGGCAGCGGTAGGGCTGGCGCCCAGCATGGGCCACCAGCTGGTGCACCTCCAGCAGCCGACGAAGCAGGAAGGAGCGGGGGCACTCACGGCACTTGTAGGGGTACTCGCCCGTGTGATGGTAGCGGTGCATGAGCAGGCGATAGGGCCGGTGGAAACGCACCCCACACTCTTGGCAGCGGTAGGGGAAGTGCTGCGCGTGCACCAGGCGGTGTTGCCTCAGCGTGGAGCTCTGTGTGAAGGCCTTGCCGCAGTCCCCACAGCGGTAGGGGCGCTCCCCAGTGTGTGTGAGGCGGTGGCGGGCCAGGTTGGCAGGTGAGTTGAAGGGCTTGGAGCAGTCAGGGCAGGAGAAGGGCCGCTCGCCTGTGTGTGTGCGGAGATGGTTACGCACGTGAGACTTCTTCTTGAACATCTTGCCACAGATCCCACACTTGTGGCGCCGCTCCAGGCGGTGCACAAAGCGCTGGTGGCGGGTGAGCTGCAGGGCCTTGCCAAACTCACGGCTGCACAAGAGGCAGCGGTAGGTGCCTGGGGCCGCGGGCCCTGGTGAGCTCTCCTCGGATACAGGGACTTCCGGGGCCTCTGGCTCTATGGTCTCTGCTGGGGCTGGCTCAGGGAAACCAATGATTGGCTCCTCAGGGGGGACTGGTGTCGTGGGCAGAGGGACACCTCCAGCCCCGTGGGTACGCCGGTGATAAAGGAACTTGGTGAGATTGACAAAAGTCTTTCCGCAGGGACACGAATGCAGTGGGTTTGGGGTGTGGGCTCGCCGGTGGGCGAGGAGGAGGGCTTCAGTACCAAAGGCCAGGCCGCAGTCCACACAGAGGAAATGGGACTCGCTGCTGTGGTCTCCGAGGTGCTGGTCTAGGCTGGAAGGGCTAGGGAAGACCCGGCTGCACAGAGGACACTTGAAGACACCCTCCCGGTGACTCCGCAGGTGCTGTTGCAGCTGGTGGGGTGAGAGAAAGAGCTGATCACAGGCAGAGCAGAAGAGCTCTTGGGTGGCTGCCCCGCTGGGCTCCCCACTGATGCTCCTGCGGGCCCGGCGCCCCCTGCGATCACGCCCAACGGCTTCGCCGTTACGCAGCTCGTAGCTGTGGTCAGAGGCTGGCAAGGGCTCGGGCTGAGATGCTGGGACCTCAGCAGGTGATGGCGCTAGGGTCTCTTGCTGTGAGCTGGGCTCTGCAGGCTCTGGGGCCGGTGTGGGGAAGTGGGTGGCCTGGTGCTCCAGGAAGTCGGCAGGCAGCTGGAAGAGCTGGGAGCACTCAGAGCACTTGTAGAGGAGCAGCTCCACCTCAGTCACCACCTCAGTGGTGGCGGCAGCTGCGGAGGGGACAGCCGCCCCTTCTCCACCCTCCTCTGCCTTGCGGTAGGAGTGCTCCACCGCCACTCGGGCCTGGCCCACAGGGGGCACTAAAACAACGGGGGAGCCCAGGACAACAGGAGCTGGTGGCTTCGTGGGTGTGGCCCGGAGGTGCGTCTGCCGGTGGCTCAGCCACAGCTCCTGACTGGCGAAGAGCGCCTTGCAGTCCACACACTCGTAGTGGATGGTGCTGGAGCTCAGGGCCGGCACCTTGGGAGGCGGCTCGGCAGGCACTGTCTCCGGGGGCGCCAGCATCTTCAGGTGCAGCTCCTGGTGCTCCAGAAGCTGGCTAGGTGACATCAGCAGCTGCCCACACTCCAGGCACTGGTACTGGCTCTCCTGGACCAGGGTCTGATAGAGGCCCGTGCCTGAAGCAGTTTCAGTAGCCACCGTGACACCAGGGTCAGCCACACCCACCAGCTCAAAGTGCTGCTGGGGCACGTGGGAGTTCTGGTGCACGAGCACCTCCTCCAGGGATCCGTAGAGCTGGTTGCATTCTGAGCAGACATAGCGGTGTTCGATGTACAAGACCGTTTCCTCTGACTCTTCTGTCATGGCGGCAGCCAGGCCCTGGGCTGGAGAAAGGAGAGTTGCAGGCAAAGCACAGCTAAGCCATGCTTCATTGGCCCATCCTGGGACACTGCTTGGCCCTTTCTGCTCCTTCTTCCCCAAAACTTAGCTTTCTCCCTGCCGCCCCCCCAAACTTCTGACTTCAATTTTCCTACTCCTGCCTCCCTCCGTTAACAATCCTTTGTCTTCTGAATACACACTACCATTACACAGAACCTTCCCTTCCCAGAGGTCCCTTTCCAAGAGCTCTAAACTCCAGTCTCACCTTGGAATCAACTGACACCAGACACCACCCACCAGACTGTACCCTGTCCAGTCCCCCAGTACTCCTGTGCCTCATCCCAACCTCTCACACAGGAACTGACGGTCCTCCCTGTTCACACCTCTTTCCACTGACTCATCTCTTTAGGGCCTCACACAACCAACTCTACTCCCCTTCTCAAGATACCCAAGAGAGTTCCTCTTTTCCTGACTACTCCAACTGGCCAACCGCCCTGCATTCCATTTCCAGCCCCCTCCTGTGTACAAAGCTCTCTCCTGCTACCCACATACTCTCCCTCTGGGGCCCAGATTCCTCACATCAAATTAGCCCTCCCCTCAGTCAAGTTTTCTCATGTTGATCTAGCAGGTCCACACACTCAGGCTTTCCCCACATTAGCCACTTCCCCTTGGAACCCAGATCCCCCTCTTCACAAGGACTTAAACCCCATCTACAAATCAAGGCCCTTTCCTGCCACCCTAGTCCCCTCTTCAGAATACCAAGACACATCTTCACCAAAGCCTAGCCCTTTCTTTAAACCCTTCCTCCCCCTTCCCACTAGACAAATTCCCTCTCCAAGGGTACCCAGACCCTCTTCACATGAATTTAATCTCGCCCTTCTTTGCATCCAGACCTCGCCTACAGTTGTAATCCCCTCTGGGATACTGAGACCCTCTCTCTCCACACAGATTCAAATCCCAATCCCAATCCCCTAACCCATTGAGGGATACCCACATTCCCTCATCACATGAACCTAACTTTTACTTCTTTACAAAAAAGATCCCCAACCACCTGATCCGGTTCTAGGAATACCCATACTCCTCATTAATCCAAGTTGCCAAAAGACCTATCCCCATCCCAAACCACTCCCGTTCTTTACACTGACTTAAAATCTTCCTTCACACCCACATTCTAACCCATACCAGGGGTCTGTATACCCCATTATTAATTTAACCTTTTCTTGTAAAAAGACCCCCCTCCCAGTTTAGATCATTATAGGAATGGCCAAAACCCTTCTTCCTATCAACCTAAGCCTCTCTTCTTTGCAGGGATACTCGACCCCTCTTTATACCAACTTCTTTGTAAATGATTCTGCGCACACTACAACCCATTCCAGAGATACTCAGACTCCACTTCACCATAGTCTAAATCTCTTTCACACGTACCCCTTACAGCCAAAATCCCCTTTAGGGATCCCCAGGCCCCCTCTTCTTCTCATGTAAGATCCCCAGCCCCCTAAACCTGAGGATAATCAAATCCCTCTGACCCAAACCTCCAATATATCAACCTAACATCTCACTCACTTCAGGGATCCCCAATCTCCCATTATTTACCTAACTCCCTGTACTTTTTTTTTTTTTTTTTTAAAAAGAGGGCTAGCTTCCCCCAGCCCATTCTTAGGATTCCCAGATACCATCTCTCCATTACATAACTCCTCCTTCTCCACCTATTCCAAAGTTCCCACTTCTACTTCAAGTTGGTTTAAATCCTGTTCACATTCACTGAACCCCAATCCCCACACCTGGGCCTCTTCCGGAGATGATCCATTTCCTAATAACCTCTCTTTTCCACACTTGAAACCCCTCTGTCCACCCTAACTGATCTTTTCTTTTCATTCACTTCATTCCCTTTTCCCATGACCTGACTCCTCCCTCTGGGCACACTAGTGCCCTCTAACCTCCCCCATTGAGGTCCTGGGCTCGTCCTACCGCCCAGCCTTTGCCTCTGGATAACCCATGGGGCCTGGGAGCCCTCCTCGGGGACAGCCCTAACGCCTTCAGGTCGCCCCCAGCCCCTAGCTCCGCCCCTCCTCACTCAGCCCAGCACACGATCCCAGCCCCAGGCCCACCCGCCGGCCCGACCCCCGACCCGCTGCCCGCGCGTCCCGCCGGCCGTTGGGGGCCGCCCCATCCGGCGCGCGCCCACCTCCCAGGCCTCAGTGCGCAGGCGGGGTGGCGAGGAGGCCGCGGCACCAGGGGAGCCAAACTGGCCTCAGTGCGCCCTCCCGCACTCACCCGCCTCCGCCGTCTCGCGCGCCCCGGGCCCAGGCCCGGGCCGCCGGTCCCCTCGCGCAGCCACCCTCACGTTGCGCCCTCTCTAGCTCGCGCCGTCGCTTCTCGCCTGCTCGCGAGCCTCGCTCTAGCCCCCAGCTGCCGTCAGCAACGCCCCTTCCACCTTCCTCCTCGTACGCCTTGCGGACGGCCTGACGCAACCAATCATCGCCCGTCTGGCTCCTGCCGTTCGGCCAATCGACGCTCAGGTCTCCGAGGCGTGGGCCAATAGTGAGGAGCGTTGCGTTCGGGTTGCTAGTGCCCGCCCCTTTTAGTCCCCTGGAGGATGCTTCTTTTCCCCTCCTCGGTGACTCCGCCTTCGACGGCTCGGGAGTGGCGCCCTGAGCGGAGGGCGGTGCGGTGATGTCAGACGGCGGAGCGAGACTGCGGCGCCATCTTGGGGACGCTGGGGCGGGACTCGGGCGTTGTGGGCTTGTGGTGGGAAATCGGGGACTAGAGGCTCGCGGCTCCTGGTGGGCGGGGATAAGGATGATGGGCATTAAGGAGCAGGAAGCCGGGAGAGGAGGGAGAAAGCGAGAAAGTAAATCGTCAGTCAGCCCCTAGGCGACCTGGGGGAAGCTGGTGCACCCAACACTTAAAGGAAGGAAAAGGGGAAATCAAGGCTCCAGACGCACTTCATGGAAAGAGCAAAAAGGAATTGGGGAGCGCGGCACATAAAATACGAAGGAACTTCTGAGGGAGGAGGGAATCAGGAAAAGTAAGGAGAAAGAATCTGATGGAACAAAGAAAACTGAAGAATAAAGGAGGAAATACAAAGTGGCCCAAATGTAGTGATCATACAGAACAGAACTAAATTGAGCCATCGATTTCCAAGGCTCTAAATCTTTAGGCCTACTGCCACATCTTTCTTCAAAGGAGCAGTCAGCGGTTCAGCGCGTAACCCAGGGCTCCTATGGAAAGTGGTGGTGGTGGAGTCAGGATTCATAGCGACCCTGTACAGGGTTTCCGAGGCTGTAAATCTTTACGGGAGCAGAAAGCCTCATCTTTCTCCCACGGAGCAGCTGGTAGTTTCGAACTGCTGACCTTGAGGTTCGCAGCCCGATTCGTAACCACTTCGCTACCAGAGCTCCTTTATGGAAAGTGGAGGAAGAGGAGAAGTAGGGACAGGCCATGACATCTGACAAAACAGTTGGGAGTGAGATAGAGGACTTGAAGGAACTCAGGTCTAAGAGTCTAAACAAAATGACCCTGTCGCGGCTTCAACTTTACTCTGCTTCCTCTACAATGCCATTCACCCTGACTGACCCCTCACAACTCAGGGAAGGTGGACTCAAGCCATCCATCCCTTCTCACCTTCTCCTGGCCCTCAGGGTCTTGGGAGCCAGTTGCCCCACCTGTTAGAAACATTTTCAGAATTACCCAAATTCAAGAACAGGGGAGTTGCAAGAGACCCAAAGAAATTAATTTGGTCTAAACCATGCCCTAATTAGGCGATTTAGGATATAAGAGCTGAGTTATTTACACCCCCAAAATATATATATATGAGAACCAAACACAATAGGACCCAGCTCCGACTCCTCAGTCATCATCTTTTTAAGGGTGCCCTGCACGGAGTCAGAGTCCTGCTGTGAAGTTGCTGGTAAATGCACTGGACTGCAAAGTCCACTTGAACTGGGAGGCCTGCGGTTCAAGTTCACCAACTGCTCCTTGGAAACCCTATACAGGGTCGATATGGGTTGGAACCTGACTCAGTGGCACTTAACAACAACAATAGCAAAGCACTACGAGCTGGACCCAACTCCACAAGAAGCACAAGATTGGCCAGGAGAAAGGAAGTCTGCGTTCATAAAAATGTATAGCTTTGAAAATCCTGTGGGGCAGAAATACTCTGTCCTGTTGGGAATCTCTACTACCCATCGGTCAGTTTGTCATGTTGTATAGTGGCTTGAGTGTTTGAAAGCCACTGATGCTGAAAGCTTTGCCAATGGTATTTGGTATTTCAAATATCAGTGGGATCACCCATGGTGGGTTGGCGATTCCAGACTAAGACAGACTAGGAAGAAGGAAAGGATGGTCCACTTCTGAGGGATTAGCCACTGAGACCTTGAAGAATTAGGGCAGAACATTGTTTGATAATAGAGTCCCAGAAGATGAGCCCTTCGGGTCACGGTCCTTAGTGCTGCCATCAAGTTAGTTCTGAATTAATGTTGTTGTTGTTGAGTGCTATCGAGTCAGTTCCAACTCATAGCAGCAATCCAGTATAAGGTTTCCAACAAGTGGCTGGTGAGCTTGAACTGCTGACCTTGCAGTTCAAACCAACCTTGCAATCCATTAACCAGGACGCTTCTGAATTCATAGTAATCCTGTATAGGGTTTCCGAGGAGCAACTGGTGCATTTGAACTGCCTACCTTTTGCTTAGCAGTCTAGTGCTTATTCTATAGTGCCATACCAGGACTCCCTTTAGGAAGAAAGACACTCCAAATACCATTGGGGAAGAGCTATCTCCTCATAGGGTTACTATGAATGGAATTAATTCAACAATAACGAGTTAGCTATGGACACTAAGTTAAACTCTGTAGCATCTAACCCATGTGGTTAAACCAAGCTGTCTGGACTGGAATCAGGTCCTCTCACTTCCTAGCTATGAGCTTGGGCAAAGCCAAGCCTCCCCTCGCCCCCCATGTCTTAGCCTTCTCATTTGTGAAATGGCCATAATAGCAGCTTATTTCACAACTCATCGAGCGTTGTGAGGTGCAGAGTAAAAGCTATGTAAGGGTTCTTTTAATATCTCAAACAAACGAACCTACTGCCATCAAGTCCATTCCCACTCATAGCAACCCTGAATAGGGTTTCCAAGGCTGTAAATCTTTACAGAAGATTCCCTTGGAGCATCTTGATGGGTGTGAACTGCCAACCTTTTTCTGTTAACAATCCAGTTCGTATTCTACAGGGCAACTAGGAATCCTTGATTTAATGTCTCAAGGTGGTTGTGTGCCATCAAATCGGTTCCGACTTAGATCTGTCAAGGGTTTCTGAGGCTGTAAATCTTTGCAGGAGCAGAAGTCCTCATCTTTCTCCCAAGAAGCAGCTGGTCGATTCAGTCAGCTAACTACTACACTAGCAGGACTCCTAGAATATCTTCAGGAGCCTTAGACTAATAGCTACCGTGTGAGTGTTACAATGTGCTAGCTATTACACTCAACGCTTTCCATATATTATTCAGTTTAATCTTCTCAACAACCCTTCAAGCAAGGAACTAGTATCCTGATTGTACAAAGAAACTGTGGCCCAGAGAAGTTAAGTAATTTGCCCAAATTCCCCAGATTAGGACTTCCCGAGACAGAGGCAGGATTCCAACCCAGGAGTTGACGCCAAGGTTTACACTCTTGGCTCCCAGGTTCTCCTGCCTGGCAGGTGGTATGTTCTTTCTGTAGGTGCATGTTGAATAAAGGAAGGAGGTCTGGTAGTGTGGCGGATTACGAGCTGTTCTATTCTACCAGCCCTTCCTCTGGAGAATGATGAGGCTGTCTGCTCCCATAAAGATTTACAGCTTCAGAAACCCTGTACAGGGTCACTATGAGTCAGAACCGACTCCACAGCACATGTAGGATAAGCACTGGATCATAAGGTCAGTTTGAACTGCAAGGTCGGCGGTTCAAGCTCACGAGCCACTTCTCAGAAACCCTATACACGGTCGCTGTGAATCGAAACCAACTCAACAACACTTAACAACAGACACAGGGGAGGAGTCCTGGTGTGTGGCTGTTGGATAAGCACTGGACTGCTAACCGCAAGGTCAGCAGTTCAAACCCACCAGCCATTCCTCAGAAACCCTACACAGAGTCACTATGAGTTGGAACTGACTCGACTGCACATAACAACAACAGAAATACAAGAATATTTGGCAGCGTAAGTGAACTTAAAGCTAAGACCAACCTAAGACCCCCAAACCAAATCCTCTGCCATCAAGTCGATTCTGACTCATAGCAACCCTATGGAGAGTTTCTAAGACTAAATCTTTACCAGCTCAAGTAGCCTTTTCTTTCTCCCAAGCAGCAGTTGGTAAGTGAACCTCCAACCTTGAGGTTAACAGACCAACATCTGATCTAGGTTTGCCCTCTGGGTGAAATTATCTGGGTGGGAGTCAGAGAACCTAGAAACTAGGCTTCACCTTTTAGCAACCTTCGTGTCCTTAGACAGATCCTCCTTCCTTCTAAGGATTTCTTTTCCCATTAATATAATGAGAAGTCCCAGTTTGGTTTGTCAGGTCTGTTTCTGCTTGAACCTTCTACGTGGACTTGTCAACCTATCTGGGTTGGCTAGATACCTTCTTGCCTGGTGATACACAAGTGGGCTGAGGCCTCTATCAGTCTTTCTGAAGGTGGTGGCACACAGGACTAGGACTTCGGAGACAGGCTGAATTCAGAAAAGATAGTGTGGGCTGTGCTGAGGTCCCCGCATCTGCAAAGGCCTAGAGGCAAGTGTAAGTCTGGGTTTTCAGACATGGCTGCAGTGGAGAAGTGGGAGGTCTCTGAGGCGGTATCCAAATAGCATGAGGAGGTGTGTGTAAAACGGGCGGTCCTCCAGGGTCAGATGTGTCCACTGGGGATGCCCCACCTGCCAGCTGCAGAGGGCATCCCACGCCCTGCTGGTGTGTGGTCTGAGAGGTGCCATGTGCCAGATGTGTGCGAGCACGAGGCATTTGGTCACGTGTGCTGGGGGCCACACGTGAGTATGTCTGTGTCTCCTCCCCATCACGAGCATGGGGGTGGTGGTGAGTCACGGGCTCAGCCTTCAGCGCCAACTGTCATGTTCCTTCCCCCCAAATTTCACCCCCCACCCAGCCATGCATCACCCACCCAACTCCAAGATCTCTGTCACTTGCTTCTCTCCGCATCCCCCTGCGCTGCTCTGACTCCTTCTGAGTATGCCCTGGGAGAGTCTCCTACTTCTCCAGGCTCTCGCCTCTGGCTCCTCTGCCCTTGGTGTTTTTCTGAGACTAGAAGATGAAGGCCTCTTTTCCCCACCCACTCTTCTCTGGAGGTCCTAGGGAGTCTGAGTATTATGGAGAAGCCCTAAACTTACCACCCATACCCTCACCTCCCTGGGTCAATTTCTGGAGGTTTCTGCCTTGTCTTCATGGACTGGCCACTCCTG